ACTACACAACTTTGGTTGGTTTCAGTGCTCCCTTGAACAGGCCCGTACCACCGCTGCCCGACCCCGCCAGGGCCGGTCATTCCGAACATCGGCACCACGCACAGGTATAATATTACTATTTTCTTGAAAGTGCATAAAGCCAAAATGTAACAACGTAACAACGCACACACTCATAGCCCCACTAGGGAAACCCTGTATCGCGGGAGCCATGGACACACGTAGGTAGACAACCACAAATTACACCCAAAGCCCTGCCTCAGTGGTCGAACGGTTGCAGTTGTACATCATAAGATATTGATAGTAAAACCCATAATCCATTAAAGTGGAACATATATAATGGCATGTGCTCGAACATCCAATGTTAAAAAAACCGACCTACCTCAAAAGTTCGTGGAATTACATCTATTTGCCAATTTTTATTGAATTCGATTACCGGAAAGTGCGCGAAACCGGATTTATCCTCTAGTTTGCCACCCTTACAGGTGGACTAATTTATTCAAATTTAAATGGGACCAATAATAAAGACGTACCTTCTTCCAACAAAAAAAGAATCGTCAAAATCTGTTCACAAATAAGCCGGAGTAATCGCGTAACATACATGCAAAAAAAATACCATCGAATTGAGAACCTCTTCCTTTTTTTTAAGTCGGTTAAAAACGAAACTTCCGAGACTGTTTCTTAAGTACTTTTGTATACTTTAAACAGTCAAAACATGATATTTTAATCGAGTTCTTTAATAACTCAAATTACAAAAATAAAAGAAAACATATTGATTAAAAGATTTTTTCACTTTCAACACCTGCTAAACCCCTTAACCATTTCTCAACACAAACCTAGTATTCGTGAGGCCTTCCTAACAACTACAGCCACATGCTTTCTGAATGTAATGTACAAAAATTGTTACAGCACTCCCACCGCTACCAACAAATGTCGATGTCAACGCCGACAACCGTGCAATCAAACTTCCAAGCAATGGCGAACATGAGCCAGTCTCACCCCAACTACCACGCTCAACTTGTCCCCCAGGCCCCAATTCTCGTCCCCTCCCAACAAAACATCGGGGGCCTAGTCACCACCACAGCTGTACCCAGAAACATCATGGAACCAACCCAAACGAAGCAACTAGACCTCATACACTTCAACATGCACAGCAAGGGAACAACGGCAATACAAAGCGTCTCGCGAATAGGAGAAAACTTCCGTACAGTCAAATTCGATTACACACCAGTACACAATGTCGAAACTACATATCAAAATGTTCGCACCGAGCATTTCCCTGTGGCAAATTTTAACAATATCAGTTCTGACTCCAGTTCTAGCATGAATACTCCGTCTGTAGGCGTTAGTTCTACGACAACACCTAACACTAGTTCCAACACAAGCACTTGCGAAAGCGCAGAACCAAGCTTACCAAGCTCACCCGACAATAACACCGAAAGAAACACGACGGTGATTGCCACACACGAAGAGGAAGCTACTGTGGAAAATTTGGACGCATCGCTGAACACTTCTATGGGCGTTTTGAGTTTAAACGAAAGTTCTACAGCCACTAACACATCATTGAACGTGAGTTTACCACCAGCCGAGAGTCCACAATTGAATGCGTCGAACAATTCCAACGTGGAGTCAATAGAGCCAACTCATGATGTTCCTTCGTCGTCGAAAATCATACGGTCAAGTGGTCCGGATTCGTTGTTGAATTTCGGTCTCGGGCTGCAAGCTGCGTTGTCGCCGAGTCATGCGAAGGAGGGGTACATGGCGCGTGCGCATAGAGATCACCACCATAGAGAAAAGAGGCACAGTTTGACGCCGTCGTCGCATTTACAGGGGAATCATTCTACGCAAAATCGGTAAGTCATAATGAATTGTCGAAGTAGATAAATGTCTATATCGTCGCCTAGAGTGAAATCTTCGCATACGCGTTTTCACGTAACTATGTGAAAACGCGTAACTATGCTCAAATATATTATTAAAGTAATGTAGTATCTGAGAGAGGAATAATTTAACAAATTAAAATGCTAACTACGAACATTATTGCGTTTTACTACATTTTATACCACATTTTTATCTTCGTCCTGAAAAATTGCATAGAAATCACATAATATTTGGTTTCCGCTCTAAGGGTCGTATTCCAGGACTCTACTCAATGCTCAAGTCAGGATTTGAGCAGACTTGAGTATGATTTCAAGCACTGGAAATACGACCCTAATGGCAAGGACTTGAGTATGATTTTCAGTGCTCACTGCAATACTCAAGTCCTGACTTGAGTATTGAGTAGAGTTCGGAAATACGACCCTAATACCATGATGCAAAGAGTAACATCACATCAAGAGGTTAAAATCACCAACCATTTTCCGAAAATAGTTTTACTACATTACAGGATAGTAAAACTTCACCTAGAAAGCTGAAGTTTGATTTTAATGTAGTTGTAGTTGCGCCATGTAAAAAATGCAGTAGATAAGTAATCTTTCACCAAAGTAAACATTCTTTTAATAAGCTACAAGCGATAGTTTATTTTAACTAATGCGTATATTGTAGATACTTTTATATTCATGAAATGCAAACCACCCCCCGCCCTAGTTGATGATGAATTCGAAAAAAGTAATTAATTAGTATTTGATGGTTTTAACCACTTTATCTATTCGTTTCGAACATCCAATTCGGACCATAGGTCGTAAATTAAGCATTCACTTATTCTGACACTATGAAATAATTTTGTGACTCTAATGAAAAGGGATACAAGTCAAGTCATATTAAGCTTTAACTGTTTTTCGCGTTTCCTTGTATAGTTGGTTTTTTGACTTGTACCCCTTTTCTCTAGAGTTACAAATATATCATAATATGTAAAATATGCTACACCACTACCAATGCTACAACTGATACCACAATATTTGTATAATAAAGTGATTTAAATACCTATTAATTTTATTGAATATCATGATGTTTTTACTTGTTTGGCTCGTATCTATCTAGTTTGTACGCTACGCAATTGACATAAAGTTCATTATGCTATGGTTACAATTATTCGTTTCATTTTATTGTTGCCGCACAATGAACATTTCACTTTTCACGATTTCAGACATTCTGCGGAAATCCTCGCCACGTCTCTCCTGGACCACACGCCGGAGCGTGATCGAGACCGAGAACGGGAACGGGAGCGGCCTGAACGCGAGCGGGAGCGGAGGCGGAGGCGTGAGCGGAGCGATGAGCGGCCGCTGCCCGCCACTTACATCGCACTTTATCCGTACAAACCGCAAAAGCCCGACGAACTCGAGCTCAAGAAAGGAGGTATGTCAACGAAATATTATTAATTGTATTGGTCGTAGTTTCAAATGAAAAAACAAAACATATTCGGGACTGTTAATGTAATTTAAACTTTACTCTGTTGATAAAGTTCAATATCGTCAAAAACTATTATTGCAAGTTACGACATTTTGATTATATATTGAAATTTTTAACAATGTGCTACCATCTAGCGGTTAATAGCTGAACAACGACGAATCCGAGATGTTTAGTTAGTTCTCCAAAGTCTGAAGTTTGTTTTTCACTTATCTACCTTTACCTAAACCGTTATACTACATTAGACATATTTATAAGTTTAGTGCAGCAGTCAGAAATGGATTTTCATAGTTTACACACAACTACCTCCGTGGCCGAATGGTTACCATGTTTGTTTGCCATGCAAAGGTCCCGGGAATCGAGCCCGGGACCGGAGAAATATATATATATATATATATATATATATATATATATATGACCTACATTTATATCTCGCATGTGTTTGGGTATAATTTGTTATTATTTATGTGTCCATGGCACCCGCGACACAGTGTTTCCTGAGTGCGGGGTTTTGAGTGTGTGTGTGTTATTATTAATATTAAAGAGGAAATTGCAGCTCAAAAATTAGGAAAAATGACATAAAAAATGTCAGTTATTTTGCCGGCCTAGACAGGCAAAGTTGCACGTAAATGACAAACTTTGTGGGATATTTTTTAAGTAATGCAAACATTTCTGCACATTGTTTGAAAAAAATACTTTTTGAATTGCAAATTGAGCACCACCCCTAGTGGTCACAAGATGAAATAACATTTCCTGTACAATTTTACGCAGTAAACTCATGATGCGTAGCCCGTAACAATGAACTCACGAAAACGGAAATAAAGTAGAACTGCTTACCATTTCAATTGCCTTATATACCTCGGACGCCTAAAAAATATTAATTCATTGAAAAAAATTAATCCTGTACAATTTGCAGCCATGTACACGGTGACGGAGCGTTGCCGAGACGGATGGTACAAGGGATGTTCGGAGCGACCGCAGCGCTGTGGAGTCTTCCCTGGCAACTACGTCGCGCCTGCGCACAGCAGGCCGAAGCACGACAAGGTCAGCTCGCACTATTCCCTTCCGAGGGGGCTGGGAAGATTTCCCAACATGCATTAACACAAGTAGCAGTACCTTGTGAAAGACTTTGTCCACAGAAGTACTGACACCTTATTTATTTCTCCTACTATGTTCCTGTATTGAAGGTTTATATTCATATTAATTTATTTGCATTTAACACGGATGCTTAACTTATACATGTGATATCCTGTAAGGGTTGTAGCAAATTTACAATGGAATTTAAATACATTGCAAGCTTGAACGTAGTTAATTACTTTAGATAATTAATTATATTATTTATTTTATAATTATTAATAAACATCATTATTACATAATATTTTTATCTTAAAATTAATTAAATTATTATTTTATTAATTATTAAACATTTTCATTACTATTACATTTAATTTAATTTATTGCAACTCTCATTTTAAAAAACTTAGATACATACATGTGATACCTTGTTACGGCGTAGCACAATTTAAACTTAAACCTGTTGATACAATTATTTCAACATATATACTTCCGGACACATAATTCGAGCCTCTTCGCTTTTTTGTCTTAAAATGGGCTAGAACACAAAAGTAGTGTTATCGTTGAAGAAAAACTTTCCCCTGGTTTTGCAAATCCAAATTGCTAACAAGGATTTATGGAAAAGACGTTTAGTATACTAGTTTCAAAATTGCTTAATAGTTTTTGATCAAACAAACATTGTTTAACCCATTTAATACTGAAAATGCGAGGTGGCTCGAATTATGTGTCTGGGAGTGTATTACAATATGTATTATTCGTACATTTATTTTATTATTATAGTATATATTATTCGTACACTTATTTTTTAATAATAATTTTTACTGAATTATATTTTCAATTATTACCTAAATTTCATAATCAAATCAATTTCAAATACATTTATCGCCAAAAAATTCAGACATATTATAATACGTTTTTTTGTTTAGAAATTCTTTTAAACGTTTTTCAAAGACCGTGTCTTTATCTAAACTTTTAATATAATTAGGGATGTGATTTACGACCCCTCCTACGTAAAGTATCGTATGTCGAAATTGCTAAGTTTCCAGAAGAGCGTTTTAAACTTCTGAATTGACTGAAATATGCATAACACGCGACTTTAGCATTTCTCAGTTTTATTCGGCAAAGGTCGTTACTCACATAGAGTATTATAAAATCCTAGATATCGGTTAGATGATCTATGATGATCAATTAGATGATCACTCTATATCAGTAACGAGCTTTTGCCAAATAAAACGGAGAATTTTGAAACGCTCCCCTGTAAGCTGGGCACTTTCGACATACGATACTTTAAGTAGGAGGAGTCGAATACTTTTATTAACATAGGGTGTGGTGCGCCAGAAAATAATTTTAGGCTAGAAGGAAGAAGTTTAATCTTGTTGTGGTAACGATTATTATTAATTTTATCGGAGAGTATAAATCTGTGTTTTTTAACGAACTTACAGGCTTAAAAAATGTATAGGTACGTTAGAGTTAGTTTAGGGTTAATGGCTTGTCAACTTATGTCTCCAGATGACGGGCAGTATCCCTCATATCTTTGCAATTTAAAGTTCTAAGTGACACTGTAATTGCTATGGAGAGGCGTGTCGCTTGCCACCAGGCGCACGACTTGTTCGCCCTGGCACTTAAAAAAAAAACAATGTAACGACAAAAAAAGTAACATCTAAAATTTCATAAATATTCTGAATAACTGTCCCCATGTCACATTCGCTATGTTTTCTGATAATAATAATTGTTTATTTCAGTCCGTGGATCATATTAAGAAAATAAAATTCATCAATTTTAAAACATTTAATAACTTTGAAAAAAGTCACATAAAAAAGAAGTCAAATTAAAAATAATAGTAATAAGCTAATTTTAAATACATGCCGCTTCGTCAGAAAGTTGATGCAGATAGAAGAGGACGAAATAGGATCTTGTTACACACCCACCACATACTCGTAGATATACGCCAAACTACATTTACTTGACTTCGGTCCGTAAATGTGGTTCAAACCAGCTAACAAGCTGAGAATAATAAAGTAAATAAGAGAAAAATAACATTAATTCAAATCAAGCGCACCCTACGTGGCGGTTTCATAATAAGCTAATAATATGATAATAAGCTAATTGGACTTTGTAGGAAAGGTAATAGTTATTTGTTATGTAAGGTTGCAAAGTTGTTGTTTGACGCGACTGATTGTATTGAAATCTGAAAAAATTAAAACCTCGAGTCATTTAAACCCTCAGCCTTCGGCTTCGGGGTCTAACAGACTGTCGTTGTTATTTTTTTATTTACTGCCTTTAATATACAATGTACTATAAAAACATGCGCAGACTGTGGCAGCGCCGGCAGCACCGAGCGTGAAGCCGACCCCCATTCCGGCGTCCACGCCCCAAGGCGCCCCTTCCGCGACGGCGCCGCCCGACGCGCCGCCACGCGCCAACAGCCCCGTCCCCGCAGGTGGGTTTCCTTTCCACGTGCCAAGATCAAAAGTCCTGTTCGCCCTAGAGATGGTAAACCTGGTATCTGCATCTTGCGCATATAGCACTGGCCTTATCCACCAATGTATTGTTTGAAGTTAGAATTGCGCTGGTCCTATTGTTTTTACTCGGTTTTCAACTGTATGCGATACCGTTACCTCATCATCGACATCATGATCATCATCATCGTTATCATCCCATGATACGTATTATTATCAATTGTCTCCGTGGTCGAACGGTCACCATGCCACGCAGAGGTCGTTCAGTGAGTTTGGGTGTAATTTGTGATTGTCTACGTCATAGTTTCCCAAACTGGTCCCGACCCAGTGGGCGCTGAAGAGTCCTTGGGGTTAAGGACTTCGGAAGCAACTGGAGGTGTTGATGCTGTCCAGAGGGTGCTACCGCATTTGAAAATATTATCTATATAAAGTACACTACATATTTGTATTATAATTTTGTTTTCCTAATGATTTTTTTGTGTGAAGTTAATATAAAACATGATTGTTTTCTATAATTTTTGTGGTGGTGGGCGTTAACACTTTTTTAACTAGCCTAATTGAGCGGTGAGCCAGATAGTTTGGGAACCTATGGTCTGTGTGTACGTCCATGGCACCCACGATTCATGGTTCTCCTAGTTCGGGACTATGAATGTTCGTTAATATTATATTATTGGTATTATACGTCCCATTGATAGACTGTCGGTAATCCGCCACACGCCCAATGCATGCTCAAAAATTCACACATTTTCCGAAGGTCATCCACAACCTTTGACATCACGATGTTTTCATTCCCTTTAAGCGAGAGGCGTTGCTTTAGAATATTCACAAGTATGGTCAAGTTATAAATTAAAATCATCAAACAGCAAATTATAAAGCTTGACACACAGAGAGCGGGTTCGGGGCGGGCACGGGAAGGTCGAGTTCGCGGCGGGTCTAATTCCGTGTATTTGTATAGACGACAACACACGGAGCGCGGGCGCGAGACGGGTCCATATAAATACACGAAATTAGACCCGCGCGTTCTCTCTGTGTGTTTCACTCTAAAATCAGTAGGTACATATCGCCACACCGTGCTCTCACTGAGTGTCCACAACTTGACTTCTGACAGCTGGTAAAATAAAAACAATAAAGCCGTGTTTATGTACCGTACAGGCCAACCAGTGCCGTACCCGTGGAGTACTCAGTCGTCTGCGCAACCGCAGCACAGCACGCCGAGATCAGAAAAGGTATGTTGTTCGCTCTGTGACCCGTTTTCTCCGGGACGGTCATTCCCAGAGATCGATTTAATATTAACTCTTCTTTTTGATGTCCTCGGTGACCCAACAGTAACTGTGTGTTGATGAAGAGATCCCGGGTTCGATTCCCGGTAGGTCCCGATTCTTTTCTTCCAATCCAATAAAATAATCCTTCAACATTAAAAAAAAAATTATTAATTTTGTACCAAAAATAATTTTATTAAATTTGTCCGACTTTTTAAATTTTTATTGAATTGAAATTCAATTATTTTTTTGTGAAATTACTCCACTAGTTTGTAAGATCGAACACTTAGAAAAAATGTGTGTCTTTGTCCGACATCTATTTTTTTCGTCCCATAAAATGAAATGATCTCGTCATGAAACAGACGATCAGCACTAAAAAAATTTTCATCAATTTTGTTTATTTTTGTGGACATCTCTCACTTGACCAAAAAATTAACTATGCCAAAATTATTTTCACAAAAAAAGACTTAATGATTCCTAAGACAGTTTCCTTGTATCTTCTATGGTTTCGGATTACCCCATAATGTCCCATTGAAAAAATTACTCTGTAGACATGAGCGCCGATAATATACCAACCGGCGGCGGCGCGCTGACGAAAAAGTGTCGGCGGCGGTAGCGTTTCGGCGGCGCGAGCGCGACCCTAAAACGAATTTGTATATCGGTGTTTGTTTTTACAAAAATCGTAATACAAATACTTTTTCAAAGGAAAAAATAATGTAACGAATTTTCTATAGTAATCAAATTTTGATCAGTTCGATCAGGCGCTCCGATCGTACGCACGCTTTCATATTGTGTATGTTTAGTGAAAATGACGATGCCAGAAATTGACAAATAAATTTTTTAAACAAAACATGTTCACTCACTAAGTCAAGTCACTAACTAACTTTTGTCTATCTATGTCACCTCTGCTGAGGCTGGACGGCACGCTGGCCTACATTGCAGAAGACAAGGCAAATCTTTTTGCCTCACTCTTGCGTTCGCGTCTGGATTTAATCTTACCTCAGGCTGGCTGCACTATGGCGCCAATTCGCATACACTAAAAAGGGATATTTAGAACTCTGCGGAATCTAGACGTGAATAAAGCTAGCAGGCCAGATGGAATTCCAACACTAGTCCTACGTAACTGTGCGTCTGAGTTGTCTCCTGTTCTTACACGCCTACGCCTGTACCGCCTCTTACTTGAGACTGGTGTAGTTCCCAGGTCGTGAAAGCTTGCAAACGTGCAACCTGTGCCGAAAAAAGGAAGCAGAGCTGACTCTGTCAACTATAGACCTATCTCAGTCACTTCCATACTCTGCAAGACTTATGGAACGTGTACTCAACAACCGTCTCTTGTCGTACCTTGAAGACAATGACCTCCTCAGTGATTGCCAGTACGTATTTCGAAGAAGGTGATCAACTGGGGATCTTGTTTATGCCTGTCACATATGGAGCGAGCAAGGTGTCACATTTGGAGCGAGCAAGGTCAAATTTAACGCTACCAAACGCAGACGTGTCTATTCTCCACAAAACGGAGTTCCTTTGAGCTGACTCCGACTTTTCGTGATATATCCATACCGATAGCCGACTGACTCCAGCTACTTGGAACGGACCAAACATGCAGCAAGGAAGCTTGGGATCCTTTCCAGGTTTAGGCGTTACTTCACACCGGGACAAGCACCATATCTTTCTACGTTAGTTTTGATTGTAGTGACCCTCCCGACCTTACCCTTAGGGCATACGAGAAGGAAACTGTAACCTGTGCGCGCACAGGTACCTTACGAGTTCAGGTTCTGACCCCAGATCTCACAGACCTCTGTCACTTGACTTCATCCGGTTCTTCGAGAGGCTAGTGTCTCGGCTGAGACGCCCCGCGTGCACGTACAGTACCCTCCCTATATTCCAGATAGATACCGGAGCTGTAGGCACGCTCACTTCCCGTTGCGCATTGCACAACTAGCAGTTGCCACCGCTAAGCTGTTGACTCTGAGTCCACTACCAAATCTCCTCATTGGTGGCGGAGCTGTAAGGCACGCTCACTTTCCGACGCCGAAAAACGACGTCTCTACAGTTCCCAATAACCTAAGCGAGTCCTAGAACCTAAAGCCCAGCGAGTCCGTACCCAAGTCCGGGTCCGCCAGAGACGCCCGTAAACGCTATCACTGGCGAAGGGCTTGGCCCGGTCGAGCCCGTAGTCTGTCTGGAAAACCCTATCTCTCGGGTCAGTAGATAGGGACACACACACCGGGATAGTTGCTTCAGCTGTACCTTGGTACACAAATCCGGTCGTGCATGGAGTACTGCTGCCACCTTTAGCATGGCTTTGCTACATACCAACTGGCCACCTTGGATTCAAGCTGATGATGATTCGTGGCAAGAAGCTTATAGGTGACTTGGAATTAGCTGCAAAGTCTTGAACACCGCCATAAAATTGCCAGCTTATCGGATATCTACAGGATGTATTACGGAGAGTGTGCGATGGAATTACACGATTTAATTCCGCTTTCCCCTTTCCTAGGCGTAGACTTGGGTTCCACCTCTATGTAGTGGATATTCCAAAGATTCGCACGAAGCGGTACGGTTCCACATTTATATGGATGGCGAACGGCTATGGAGTGGAATTCCCTGCCTGCAGACTTGTTCCCTGAACGTTATAACTTGGGCCTTTTCATGGCGAAAGTGAATAGGCATTCATCCACCGTCGATCTCATCGTCACTTTCCATCAGGTGAGATGGAGGTCAAATGCGAAATTACATTTTATTAAAAAAATAAGTTTTATATCATAAAAGTTATTGTCTGGCGTCGCCATTTTCACATACATAATAGGGAAGAGTGCGTGTGCGTAGGATCGGAGCGCCTGATCGAACTAAACGGCGCGCCGGCGCGGCACTCATGTCTACTCTGTATATGACAAATAACTTTACAGGCAAAAGAGAAGACAAAGCTGGAGAAATCCTCGATATCATCCGGAGTAAGCTTGATGAAGCGACTGGCAGCGATGAAAAAGTGCAAGTCTCCCCCACCAGCGTACAGCATGGACAACCCGGTGTTCGAAGATGGACCGACTGCTGCACCTGGACCTAGTTTGCTAACGCATCCATCACATCCAGTACACGTTAGGTGAGCATTTTAACTTTGACTGCAATGTATAAATAGCTGCAAAGAGATAACCAGCTACCTTTCCTAGTACAAATAGGTTTGAACTTGTCAATAAAGGTCAATTCACGTTAGAAGCGCAGCGTTTTTGTTACAATTTTATTGATATGGAGTGTAACGAAAAAGCGCAACGATATAACAGCTGATGATATTATTCGTGTTAACAATTAGTTTAACTAAAATATTATTAATAGAATCATGAAAAAAATCTGTATTTAAAAGCCAAAAATTTTCATAACATTTTTATGACATTGCTAATTTAAAAAGTAGTGAGATCGGACCTTTGTGGTATACCTGTATATTGAGAAAATCAATTTCAGACGTAGCTTAGTTGGCGTAGCGTCTGCCACGGTTTGCCAGAAGATGTTGGTTCGAATACGGCCGGATCGAAGGAATTTTTTCTAAATCTTTGTTATTATAGGAAATGAAACTGCTTTGCCGTATTTAAATCAAGTATATTTGTTTTTTCAAACAAACCGACGTTTTTTTGTTAGTAATTATTATAACTCCTACTTTGTAATGATTATTAATGCAAAGATCGAACACAAAGAAAAATTCCGTCGACCTGACTCGACTCGAACCTGTGACCACGCCAAACCAGCGCGATGCTCTGCCAACTGATCTACAAGTCCAGTCAGCAGTACTTACAATTTCTCCTAAGTGTTTGTTATAGATCTTTTATGTTGGGTTTTTATTCGGCTTTCAAACGCCCAAAAAACCCAATTCAAGATTTCGTCGACAACGACATCGTCATTATACTACTTAAGTTCGTCGTAAGCAAGTCAAGTTTTTAAATATTCTAAAGGAAAAAGAAAAACAAACACGTAAATTGGGTATGGATTCCCTTAGTGATTGTTGTTCAGTATCATAGTTAAAGCCACCCTGTTAAATGTTCGTACTTTTAATTGTAATTTCCCTATATACGAAGTAATAACAACACTTTCGTCGTACATTAGATGATCATTCATTAGTGCTCGTTTCATTAGAGCAGTCGTTAAAAATTTGGTAGCATGTGTTTGTGTTAACATTTAGAAGTTACACATGCCATTACGAGACTAAATTAGGGCAAGATTATTTAGTACACAAAAAAAAATTAGCCCAATCTTTATTACGTGATACTAAAACAAAAAAATTACGCTAGGTCGGCAGGTCACCTTCGCTTGCCTGCTAAAGGTAAACATACATACCTACCCATGTAAACACTGACTCGTTTCCAATTGAAAAGTGTAATCAATGTTTACCTACCCGATCAGTTCATTGAACGTTTTAAATGATTTGTTATGTCTCTGTGCGTAAACTTATATTTAAGAATGCGACAGTCGACTCGGTGTAAACGGTGCGTCGATTGGGTGTAGCCTGTACGTCGACTGTACGACTTTTGTCAGCCAAATTTGCCTGCCGGAGAGGCAGCAGTCAACTAGGTGTAAACGGTGCGTCGTATAGTTGGCGAAATATTATTTGCACCGATTGTTTCATCTTTAGAGTACAATAGGACAAAAGGTGAACCGTCTCGGTTACGCACCTGCCATCTGTATAGTGCAGACAACTAGTTTAAATACTTTACGCATTGGCGCTCAATTCTAAACTTGATAATATTTATGCGTAAATAACTTGTTGAATTAGTAAGAAAAAAGTCGGCAGTTGGTATTTTACGAAGTGCCTACTGTTAAAAAAACGAGCTGTTGTGTAAAGAAGTAATAGACAACTAGAAATGAAACTATTTTTTAGGATTTAAATCGCGTATATTTGTTTTTTCAAACAAACCAACGATTCGGGCCTTTTACTGGTCCCATGGTCACTGTTTCTGAGGTAGTACAATCATCAACCAGTCATCTAGAGATAACTTTACGTCCTCTAAAGGACGTGATTTAAATATGGAAAAATAGTTTCATTTCCTATATGTAACAATCGCGAAAATTTAAAACTCAGTGTGAAAACTAGAATTTAAAAAATTATTTAGCGTACTCATGCCTGTAACGATGAACCAAGATCGTTAAATCCGGGTACGCTTTAAGTGAAAGAAGTGTTTAAAGGATTTATTACCCTAATGTAATACAAAGGACAAGCCTTTAATTTTATATTCAATTGATATTCAATTATTTTTATGTGGAATTACTCCACGAGTTTGTTATAATTATTAATACAAAGATTGAACACTCATAAAAAATTCCTTCTATTCGGCTGGATTCGAACCGACGCGTCGCGACGGCTTTTAGCATACCGTGGCAGACGCTATACCAACTAAGCCACGGAACGAACCAGCGGACCTCACAAATTTTTCTATGTGCTTTGCTGTATCTTTGTATTTGGTTTTCAATGACTTTTAACCGTAGCGCCATGTATGAGAAATCTTATAAAAGTATTTCGTCACCCAGTTAGATACCTTTACAGCTACTAGCCCCGGAAAAGGCCCTTATAACATTCATCTGTGCAAATAATATTTCTTCAACTACCAACGGTCAGTACGGCACCGCCTTCATCAGCCGATTCCGCTTTCCGAAGAGGCAACGACAGTCGACTCGGTGTAAACAGCCAGTCGACTCCGGCGCCTCCTTCCCTGTGTAACCACGCCATTACATATACATTGTGATTGCACTAGAGGTTACAGGTTGTATTGATTTCATAATAATATATTATGTATATCATTATTATAGGTAAGCACATCGTAGAACCGAAATTACTGTGTCTAAATAATCTTGCTCACGTAATCTATCTAACGAATTTGTTCTAAAACAGCATGGTCTTGGCTAACGGCACTCTCCACTTTGCATTTTGTGTGTTCACTGTACGTGTTAACGTTTTTGCTGCTGACAGTCCACATTGCATACCATTTAACGTTATTTACGCGTTAAAAAAATTATTATACTGAATATACTGTTGCCTTTATTACGAAAGGCCTTGAAGTAGTTTTTTGTTCTCATCGAATGAATACGAAGACGAGTTAATAGTATGCGGTGATGTGAACTGTCGGTTTGTAATGTGTGTGGGGCCGGGGCAGGTCGGGCTCGTGTCCGTCTCAGCTGCTGCGCGCGCTGCCCGCTTCGGAGCGCCTGCGCCACAAAGAGCGGCCTTCCATCCTCGTCGATCACCATCGCCTCGCGCACAGGTCTGTATGCACCCTCTCGCTATGCTGGATATAACAGAAATGACCGAATAGATCACATTCAGCTGTTTTTTGCTTGCTACATAATATGTTTCTAAAGCAAACATCAACACCTTTTTTTTATAACATCAAGTGACGGGACAAGTCGTGCGCCTGATGGCAAGCCACACGCCTGTCAGTAACAGTTGCAGTGCCATTCAGAGCTTTAAATCGCAGAGATCTTTGGGGCACTGAGACATAAATTGACAAATCCCGTGTGCCTGTAATTTCACCAGCACCCTTGCCCTTCCAGAACAGAACGTAGTACTCATTCAGTAATGCTCATTTTACTGCTTGACGGCAGAAATAGGCAAGGTGGCAATACTACACTGGACGAACTCTTTCACAGAGAGCTCTACTGCTACTGAATTTGTTCGCATAATCTCGCTGTGTACTCGAGTTGCACATCGAGAGTTCAGTCAGTAATTATATTCGGTATCAGTTATATAAGTCAATTTCAGTGATAACAATTGTTAATGTAACTAAATGTTAAAATAATAATAACAATACCTTGAATAACGTCAAAAAAATAGAAAGATTAAACAATGAAGCCTAACTTCATGTGTTTGTTCTGTGGATTTGCCATTTTTATATTTCAAATTTCTCTTAACTGGGCTTATGAGGTTGTTTATTGTCGTGATTATAATAATCAGCATAAACGGTCGCAATTTTTTTGTTATATCCTGTATATATTAACCAGTAAGGAAAAAAATGCGTTATGTGTAATGTGTTGCTTTATCATTTTATTGCACGCTTTTCATTTACTTCACTTATGTTGACTTTTCATTAATTTACATGTTTTTTAACGTTGGATAATTATTATTTACTTCAGAATATAAACCGACCCCTCATACGTAAAGTATCTTATGTCGAAAATGCCAAGTTTACAGGGGAACGTTTCAAAGTTCTGAATTCACTGAAATGAGCAAAACTTGTGACTTTAGCATTTCTGAGTTTTATTCGGCAAAGCTCGTTACTCACGTAGAGTATTATAAAATTCTAAATATCGGTTAGATGATCTATTAGATGATCACTCTATGTGAGTAACGAGTGAATTCAGAATTATAAAACGCTCCCCTGTAAACTTGGCAATTTTTACATACGATATTTTACGTAGGAGGGGTCGATATATCCTTTTTTACGATTCTAAACTCTTTATATATTTCTTTATATGACGCCGAGTGACGGGACGAACAAGTCGTGTTCCTGTTGTGGCACTGCCATTGCAACCGTTACCCTGAGACAGAAAATTTACTAGCACACTTAAAGTCTTTGCCTATTACTCCGAACCGTACCATGAACGTGCTATGAACGTATCAGGGGGCCCCGTTCTCCGTCCAAAAGCCGTCTGAAACAATGGCCGTCCAGTTACACAAGGAGAAAGAGAAAAGGCCGCGCGGCGACCGCCCAGTTACCACGCAATAAAAAATACACAATACAACAACAATAAAAAAAAGCCACGCCTTTCATGTACATTAATGGCGAATCTGAATTCTATTTACTAGGCAACAACATTTAAATTCCTCTGAATAATACAACCGCGCGGTCGCCGCGCTGCCGCCGCTTAGACCAAATTCAAGCCAACCTCCCTCGCGTGGCTTGGACGCTCATTTAAGTTAAAACGTAAAAGCTAAATAAATGGAGCGTATTTTGCCATAACAGTTAGACGCACGCGGACGCTGCGTGGCGGCCGCGCCTGTCAAATAAGTAATACTCGACCAAATAAAAAAAACCATGTCAAGTATGAAGCCTCATTCGCATCATGCGTCTTATAGTTTAGTCGAATATTACTTATTTGACAGTAATTGTTTCGGACGAATGTCGCACGGAAAATGAACGTATACACGAAACAAACACTACTATGCTACGGGCTGATCGGTAACGGAACGGTCTAATGGGCGCTGTTTCTTAATAATTTATATAACGAATATTTTTTTGCATGTGCTGATACACTTTCGGTCATGGTATATAACGGCATTGTGGGCAGAACCCTTTACCCGTGAAAATCGGAACGCAGTAATGCTCATATTTCTGCTTAGCGGCGGAAATACATACTGTGGTAGTACTTCCTTCGACGAACCCTTTCACAAGGTTTTGTTGCTACTTTCTCAAGGTATCATAATCACTAGGGAAGCATACTGTATCATTAGATTGGGACATATATGGGATATTGAATCTGGGTTTTTTTTATTATACATTATGTTATTGTATATTTGGTACGGAATATGCTACCGGTTAATTGTATTTTAGGTATACCATTGATATAAAGTAAATATCTATTTCAACTGCTTTCATTCACCGAAATGTGTTATACAGGCACAGGTTAATGTCAGTCATTTTAACGACCTCGATGACCCAACAGTCTGCACTGTGGGCACTGGATGAGGAGGTCCCGGGTTCGATTCCCGGTAAGGCTCCTAACAGATTGACTGCACGTTTGCAGAGTTATCAACTTCATGCAGTCGAGATCGACTTCATGCAGTTAATGCGTGAAGTCGTTATCAACGCCATTAAGCCGAGGTCTCGAATAATGACTTTACGCATTAGCGACATGAAGTCGAAACCGACTTCATACAGTCGAGGTCTCGGCTGCATGAAGTTGATTACGACTTCACGCAATAACTGCAAATGTGCAGTCAGCAGCCTTAGATCAATTTGAGAAATGAACTTTTCTAAATTGGTGTTCTGAGTTGTGCCGCGGAGGCAATCCCGTTGCTCTGGTACTCGTAGTACAGCGAATGCCCTAGTTGTTTCCCACACTCTTATTATTACTTTTAAGACAACCATATTGTACTCTATGTAACAATAAAAGGTATTATTTTTCACACATTGCACATCTTTCGGTGTCACTCACTGCACTGTAATTATTGAATGAATGAATGAAATATTGTTTATTGCACCTATAATTACAGTCAAAATACAATACAGTAACTTAGGTATAAAGATAGTAAGATAATGCGCAACAGGCGGCCTTATTGCTATGCAGCAAATTCTTCCAGGCGACCTTAGTATAGAAATTTGGGATATGGGATAAAAGAGGTGCAACCAAAGAATACCATTGTAAGTACACTACATAACAATTATTAATAAACTCATATACGTAGATAGAAATATCCATACAAATATTATTAATACATAACAATACATAAATAATAATATTAAATGCTTATATACTTTAAAAGGGAAAAGAAAAATGAAGTATAAGTATAGGAAATAAATGAAAGGATAGTGGAGAAAAATTGGAAGTAAAGGGAACCTTGAATCGATTCAGGAAGAGAATTCCACAGTCTGATCGCAGAAACACGAAATCGAAGAAAAATGATCTTATGCAATGCATCTACAGACACTTACAGGCACGCGCTGTGCTTACGACAAACTATATATGCCTAAAAGCGTGAAACACACTGACAGCTGCTGTGGGTCGGGCGCGTGTCGGGTCGGGCGCGTGTCGGGTCGGGTGCACGGCGGGTGTAATTCCATGTATTTATATGGACGACACACCACGAGCGGGATCGAAATGGGTCGTTATTGCCGTTCATATAAATACACGGAATTACTCTCGCCACGCCACGAAACGATAAAACGAAAATATAGTTTCGTTTTCAATCGCGAATACCTAAGAACTCGATATTAATACTTTAATAAAATGTACATGTTCACCTTTGTAGAGCGGCGAACGAGAGCCCTTGGCAGACCCAACACCGTAAATCGCAGTCACTCGACGTCACCGCCACTAGAAGGGACAAGCACCACTCGCAGCCGGTCAAAGAGAGGTAATTCGCTTATACAAGTCAATCAACCACGTCAATGGCGAAAGTTGGATATATAATAAAAATAATGCAATGTTATTATTATTAATAATGATAATAATTTGATTTCATTCAAATGTTTACAATACCACTTATACAGGTTGGCCCGGAAATGATGGTCAAAATAGAGAACTTCAAAACCCTCCGGTTTTTTATTTACCATGGCTTAGAAGGTTCTGCATCCATCTTAAAGTTCCATGTTAAATTAAAAAGAAACATCCATTTCGACCCCTCCTACGTAAAGTATCGTATGTCGAAATTGCCAAATTTTGCAGGGGAGCGTTTTAAAGTTTTGTATTCTGTAACTGTAACTATAATTTTGCAGTTTTATTCGGCAAAGCTAACGAGCTTTGCCGAACAACGGCCGAGCCGAGCAACGGCTCACATAGAGTATTATAAAATCCTAGATATGGTTAGATGAACTACCACAATTTATTTTATAACTATACTCATTTCAGTGAATTCAAAACTTTAAAACGCTCCCTTGTAAACTTGACAATTTCAACATACGATAATTTACGTAGGAGGGGTCGATTTGTCACGGAATTATTATTATTACGTAAAAAACTGATCTCTTTTACAAAAATATGTTTTATACATCGTTACAATCAGCATGAAGTGTAGTAGTTTTCTGCTATAGGGACACCTTTCCGTAATACATTTCATCTTGGTGAGATTGTCTTGAAAACAGAGCTTTCTTTTTGTGAATAGAAAATTGTTCACTAAAGGGCTATTTGCGATTGACATATGCTGCTAGCTCATTCTATGAAAAGAGTTCCGTCAAAAATATACACAATATCTCAGAAACATAATGCAATAAAAATCACTTCAAAAGTCCTTGTGGATATTTTTTTTGTGATTTTGTTTGTAGTAGTGATTTTTCCAAAAAAAAACACAAATGTTGATTAACTTTTGAACCATCAATTTCCGGACTCCAATGTAGTCAAATCAATTGGATCCGGGCTACCCTGTTATTGTTTAAGAATATATTTGCAGTGATTTTTTTCTGAGTGTAAGTCTTAGGTATATCATTTTGACGCGCCTCGTTCGTCTCGTGCAAGCTAGGAGTTCAGTACGACATACATACACTACAAATAAATATCATGACTATCGATAAGTCCTAATGACATTAAGGAAAAATAACTGCATACGTTTTGCTAATTTACTTGTAATAAAACTAAACATTATTAAAACCTTCAAATAGCATGTATTTCAAAAAAATAAGTAACAAATTATGCAAAATTTGTACGTGAGCTCCGAGACTAACACAGGTATAACCTTAAAATATATATGTTATGTATATGGTTGTTTATCGGTTTTCTAAACAAAGGGGGCGCCTAATTCTAAAATTTCGCGACTAGAACCGACTAATTCACGACTTTTTCTGGGTGCAATCAGATCTAAGCTAGGTGTTGTGGTTATTGAGATTCAGAAATGGTGCCACTGGAATAAGCTTATTCCAGGGTGGACAGTAAAATATCTTTATAACTTTTGAACGGCGGACCGACTAAATAGACTAAATAGCTACTTTTTTCTGGCTAGTCAAATTTCAAAAACTCGACCATGGTCACGCTGGAATAAGGCACACAGTACTTCCCTGGGCGAACTCTTTCACAAGGAGCTCTACTGCTTGTTTCCCGCTACGATTAAATATCAGAATATTAGTATTAACGTTTCGCTATATCAATGTCAAGAAAGCAACGCGCAACGTTTTTTTCACTCTTATTGCATGGACATAAAGCTTCTTCTGACCAGCACAAGACGATACCGCATTAATAAGTGTGGTGACTCTCTTAACTCAAGCTTCGAATAGCCTGTTTTATTCGGTAAACACAGTGTATTCCATTTTTTTTGTCATACACACCAGGAAACAGCGCTTCGTGTGAATTGATGACATGTCAACGAAATAAGGACCTAATGCATCGGTTCCGATATTTTTTGGCTCACCGTCCACTTAGGCAAGATAAAAAAAATTGAAAACACGTATTTTCTATATTAATTTAACACAAAAAAATCACAAGAAAAAAATTTATGTAGTGTAGTTTATACACATAATTCAGGTTTCTTTTTTCAAATGCCTTTGACTATGGAATTTTTTCCATCCTCTAAGACACACTAACTATGATCTAGTGTTTCGGATTGTCAATTGTTTGTGGTTTATGTCATTTTGTATGAAAACACATACCGAATCACTTTTGTTTTGTGTTTTGTATTATTAAAATCGTATAAAAAATGTGACGGTAAACATTCTTGTTACAGATTTCGGTGCATCGTTCCATATCCGCCGAATTCCGAATACGAACTTGAGCTCAAAGTTGACGACATCGTATTCGTACTGAAAAAACGCGGCGACGGCTGGTACAAAGGGACATTGCAACGTACAGGACGCACCGGACTCTTCCCCGCTTCATTTGTACAGAGCTGCCCGCAGGAATGACAACGGCCAACACCTAGTAGGTTTGGGACATTATTCTAGTGTAGATAGAAGTGTTTAACTTTATTGGAGAGCTGTGCAGTATGTAGGATCAATTATCGCCCATAGATTTCCTTTTTTGTGTACTATTACTACTGTACAAAGCCTTTTTTTAAAGTGGATTCGTCTTTGAAGCGTACTCTACTAAAGATGCGCAAATAATACCATAGACTCAAAATGTACTAGAGTAACAGACTAATAGAGCGTGCGATCAAGAAACGATTTTTATAATGTCTATTTCCTATGTGAAAAAAGAGAACGCAGTCTTTTGTCAATTAATATCCTTTTTGGCAATCACAAGTTGCACCCGCTACGATTCACCTATGGCCTGCCTTTCTTGAAGATGGAGTAAAATGACAGTTCTTTGCGTAAAAGTGTTGCTCGCTTACAAGCAGCTACTCATTGCAGTCGATAAGTATTCTATCCACTATCGACTGACTGTTGGTTACGCATGTAAAAAATAGTCGAATTTGTTTGATTTCAATCATCATGGACCCATTATTCGTCCAACTGTCGGCCATAGGTTTTACAAATTGTCAATTTTTGTAAGTTCATACGTACATACATACGCTGTATTTACAACTGTTTCTAAAAATTAATAGAGACATTTTAAACTTTTTCATATGAATTCAATAAGCAAATGCGCATGTTCCTGTTAAAATGTGTATGAATAAAAAATATTTTGATACTAGTAAGTAGCTGTCAAAATAAGAATGAAGAAGACAATAACGTAATTAATAATCATTAGAATGTCGTAACATTCACAATTCAGACATTTTTGGCATTCTTTCACAGTCTATCGATAAAACTGTCGATAACAACTACATGACTATTTAAAATTTTACGAACAAATATTATTTTACTACGTTTTCGAAAAAGACAGGCTATAAAAAAAAATAGTTTCAAAGGGACCAGAAATTCGGTTACGCTTCTGCTTCTGATGCACTAATATATTTTAAGTGTATGGGTACACGATAGGTACGCATATGCGGACAATGTAACATGGCTCTAAGAGCTGAGGTACGTCAGCTAGCGACACGGTATCGAATCAAGGTGTACGGATACTCGAGTAGTATCGGATAAAAATTACAGTACTCATAAAAGTATCAATACCACAAGTCTTACAGATTTTATTCACTTAAAGACAGAATGAAATATATTAATTAATCAATGGTTTTTATTAAATTATATGTTTCAATTAAAAATTGTAATATAAGTAATGTTGTTGCGCAAGTTGAACTAGCATGACGTGATAATCAATTACTTCAATTTTCACATTGAAATCTTATACTTTGGAATAAGTGGGAATTATTCGAATCAACACGATACTTCGCACACGAAACTAAAAAATGTCGTAACTCAAAATTGTGGAAGCGAGAAAACACGATTTGAAAATAAAAAAAATATACTGATAAAATCTTATTGCCAATAATGTTTATTTTTATTTATACATAATAATAAGTTTTCTAAATCGGAACGAGAATGTATATTTCGACTCATCCAAAGAACAAAGTCCGACGTGATTATATAGCGAAAAGAGAGTAAGTACGTTAAGAGAATAATTTCATTATTCAAACTAAGGCCTATGTAAAGGTGTTTTGAGAATTTATATATCTTGTTTCGTTTCGGAAATTATAAAATTGAACAACAGTCGATCTGACATCCACAGCGACGAAGAACGAACGAAATGTACTATGTCCTGAGAACAAGTAGTCTTGCACATAGACCTTTGTTCTACGGATGAGTCGATTTATTGGTTTCATTCAGTAATTTTTATAACTTTCAAATTAATTGAGTTATGACAGTATTTGTTTTCATGTGCCACTTGTCAAAAAGTTTTAATACCAGAAAGGTAACGAATAAAAAGTATCGGTATCGAAAGGAAAATACTCAATACCAAAAAGCATCGATACTTTTTCCGTGTCCCTATTGTCGGTATGATACATTACCTCGGCGTATGCTGTAATCGAATTTGTAAGTGATAATATTTGTATCGCCTATCGCTACACGAATATCATCCCATACATTAACTACAATAATATGGGCGTAATGTAGAAGTGTGATGAATGCGCTGTAACAGTTTAAAGTTACACTTCATGTATTTTAATTACCATGTGTTACTCTTAAATTGTAAAATATTTAATTGTAAATATGTATGTGGAGTTAGTACATGGAGTCAGTACATTTGATGTAGGAAAAGAAACAGGGAAATTCGACGGCGAAGAAGTTAATAAGAACTAGCAAACTTGGCACCGATTACTTTTAAACCTTTTATACTGTTTAGCTGTAACATTATTACGACATAACTATGTAACTTTGCGATAATTTTACAAAAATATGTGTCTACTCCCAGTATTGTTACCAATCTTTACTAATATAGATATTTATATGATTTTTTCTCGGAACTGTTATTTTACTAAGCTGCATTTGAAAAAATCAAATTTCAATTTTAAGCAACCAATCGGGCAGCCATTCTATGCAAACAATTTGTCAATTTTCTTCAAATGATGAAATTAAAGAAAAAAAATTAAAGCTTGGAAAATGAAACTATTTTTTCTCTAATCTAATCTAAATTGCTTATACGGGAAATTTTCAAATCATTTCAAGTATTCGATTATATTACCGTGAAATATTAAATAATATTTCAGGATACATCACTCGAATATTAAATAATACTTCATGATAATACTCAACATTCAAATAATACAAATTGCCACCGAAATTAGATGAAGAAAACCAAATTGAAAATTATACATTTGTTTTTTCAAACAAATCAACTTTTCGGGTCCTTTGCGGGTCTCATAAGATAAATAATATAGATTCGAAAAAATAGTTTCATTTTCCTCGATAAAAATTAAAAGTTGTATTAGAAAAAATCCCAAGATTGTCACTATTTCGAATTAAGAACGTTGTAAAAAATTTAAATTGACCAATGACATTACTTCAAAGACATAATTTGTCAATTTTTTATTTTTTGTTTCAAAGCCACGTATAGTCTGTTCCAATCCATTTTAGACAAAAGGCAACAAACAGGATTGGTCAGAATCGTAAAATCGTATTTGAGAAATGATAGTCAAAAGGTGAGGTTTTTGTTTTAATTACAGAGGTATGAATAGTCTATGGTTCCATAGTACTGCACGGAAAAAACATTCGGTTCATTTAATTCGTTTTTGTAATCGATTAGAAAATCGAAAATTTCAATCGCAATTTTAAATATGCTTTTGTAGATTATGTAAGGAAAACCGCTAGTATGACTCAATTAAACAAATCGAGTCATTCAATTAATTAATCGATTTGTAGTTGGCAATTGGCTATTACTAAACCGTCTATGGTCGAGTCAGTGACTTGTTTTATTTACTTTTTGTTTAAAATGGATTGAAACGAAGCATTATTGGTCAATTCAGAATCTTCTAGTTTTTAACTACAGTAGTAAAAATTGGTAGATACACAGGAAGTTAACGTACAAATATTATGTCGTATGTATTTTAGGTTTGTATTCAGAAGTAGAATGACCACTTAGTTTCCTTCTTGACTGAGATCCGTTTCGGTAACTGCCAATCATTCTGCCTTATTTCCATGTTGTCAAATGACTTTCTTAATGACGCCTGTTTATTTCCAAACAAAATAACTTTGTGGGCCAATCATGAGTCCAGGAAAATGTATTTTTATAACTTTAATCATATAATAATGATAATCGTAAAAATATTGTACAGAACAATTATTTTATTTTTATGTATCTTAACACGATTAGGTGGTTGCAAGTACCCTTTGGGACAGATAGTTTACGATTTGATACGGAATAATAAATAATAAAGTTTTATGTAAATCAAACAGACATAGGCCACCCAGTATTAAAATATTGTACTAGCTTTGTTAGTATATATATTTGTAACGTTATTGAATAATTTGTCTAATGAAAGCTGCACAAGGTATGGTAGCACTATGGGCGCTTGTCGAGGAGAACCTGGGTTCTATACTTGGTACGACCAATCTTAGAAATGAATTTTTGTAAATCGGTTCTGGTCTAGGTGTAAATCGGTTCTGGTCTAGGTGTTCCTAGTAGTATACCTGTAATTCATTTTTTTTGGTGCTCATTTCTTTGAGACCAGGTCTTTGGAGTCAAACAAGCTCCAACGGAATTATTCTACGATTATTATTTTTTAATGATACCAAATGGAGGGACGAACAAGTCGAGCGCCTTGTGGTAAGCGGCTGTCCATAACAGTTGCAGTGCCACTCAGAACTTTAAATCACAAAGATCTAAGGAGTTCTGCCACTGCGCCCACCACCCGGAGACATAGTTAAGAAGTACTATGTGCCTGTAATTTCACCAGCACCCTTACATTTCAAAACCGAAACGCAATAATGCTCACATTACGGCTTGGCGGCAGAAAAAAAAGTAAAGTGGCAGTACTACCCTGAACGAGCTCTTTCACAAGGAACTCTACTGCGACTAAAAACGTACCAGACCAACCCATATTTAAATGATATAATAAGAGCAGTATTCGCGGTATTTCGAAAAATCGAATATGAACTGTCACTTACCATGGCTGTTGTAGCAACACCGCATAGACTTTACAACATATGTAAAAGAATTAATAAATAGGAGTACCAACACTAACGCCACGAAGAAACAACATGCTCATAACAAAAAAATTTGTAGAAATGTACTCCCGGACACATAATTCGAGCCACTTTGCATTGTCAGTATTAAATGTCTTATTAATTAATTAGCTTAAATGATGTTTGATTGATCAATAACTAATTCAGTTTTTAAACTGGTGTATTAAACGTCGTTTTCAAAATGTTTTAAAAATTTCAATTTACGAAACCGGGAAAAACCTTTTCAATGATAATAATATTTTTTTTATTCTAACACTTGAAAAATCAAAATGCAAGATGGCTCGATATATGTGTCCGGGAGTGTATATTAACAGTTTAAATGGCAAAACTAAACACACGGTGACAATTTTGTAACACATAGGCATTTGCACCAAGAAAAGTTCGGATTGCAAAAATCCGCATGTAGGTAGGTTTGAACCTCCTCCAAGCAGGGTTGAACATCCCCAGGTTCGTTACTTTTTAACCGACTTAAAAAAAGTATGAGGTTCTCAATTTGATTGTATTATTTTGGTATGCATGTTGCGCGATTACTTTGTGAACCGATTTTTATTTAAATTTGAATAAAATATTCCACCTATAATGGTGGCAAACTAGGGTATGAATCCGGTTTCGCGCACTTTCCGGTAACCGATTTCAATAAAAAAGTTATAATTTAAGTGATA